TGTATGAACGGACAACAGGCGAACGTATCTACTCCTATTGACACACAGACACAGACATAGACACACACGCACGCACACACACACACACACACACACACACACACACATATATATATATATATATATATATATTTGGGATAACGATATATATTTTTATTTAACTAAATACAGTATAAAATTTGTTATTACTACATCCGAATCAATAAAAGAATTAGTCAACGCTAAACAAAACAATAAGTTAAAACTTGAAGGAGGAGTTTACTCCATCTCCTGTAATAATTGTCGCCAAAATTACATAGGAGAAACCTCAAGGAATCTAAATAAAATATTATATGAACACAAAAGGGACATTTTACAAAATCAAACACCAAATGCGTTGGTTGTTCGCCACAACGAGACTGGACACAATTTTGACATAAAAATGCTATTCTAATCAAAGGAGGAAACAATTTACTACGGTGTAATGTCTAGAGAGTGCGTTAATCGCAAGTCCATCTAAAGTAAATTTGCAACCTGGCACTTACAACATTTCACCATTCCTGGCAGATTTAATATCACAGTGTGGACTACCTACTTACAAAAATGATTGAAAGAAAAAGAAAAAGACTCTAAATGAATTCTGCTAAAAAAATTAAAAATTCCCAGCGCCCCTCTTTCAACTTTGTCATACAATTCCCCCCCCATATATATATATATATATATATATATATATATATATATATATTTGAAATTCTTTAGGATTATTATTAGATATAATCATGTTTATTCTTTTGTTACTTACACAGCAGGTAGATAATTGCTTGCCTGTCCCCTGCCGCAAATTTAGATGACAAGTCCTTGGTCAAAAAGTTTTGTTATAGCAGCAGTAGACACAATGAGACTTCTCCCCATGTTTAACAACTTCCGGTAAGCTTCATTCTGAGGTTCTGTTGAAGCCATGCATATGCGTTTCTAGCAAGAAAGGCTAAAAAGAAAGGTAAGATAATGTCCTGAAGGTTCCAGTGTTCTCGCCAATATTCCAGCAGATCTTCATAATTTTCTCCTCCAGATGGTTGCAATTCAATGCTTGGTTGATTTTGTTTAGCAGCATATTAACCTACATGGTGTATTTAATACCGAAATGTAAATATTTTGAACACAATTTTATGCATTCAACTAAATATATTCTGGCCGCAGTTATATGCTTTTAATTACAGATAATCTATAAATACGCACTGCTTTTCGTTAAAAAATGCATTGTTGGTCATTTTACTATAAATAGGTATTTTACATAATTTTCCTATATAAAATGTATTGCTGGTGATTTTCCTATATAAAATGTATTGCTGGTGATTTTACTATATAAAATGTATTGCTGGTGATTTTACTATATAAAAATGAATTTTTGTACTTTCATAGTGTTTTGTTTTTGGTTAGGTAATTTACTATTTGCCCTATCTGGAATTCTAATTGATGCTACAATTATAGGGTCAGGTTGGATCCAGGAAGAATATCAGTTAAGAGAGGGTTTCAAAACCACCAATCTCCCGATCAGAGCAGCAATTCATAGTTTTCATTCTTCCAGCTTCAATATAAAACATTTCTAGAATTCTGAGAGCGCACACGTATAGATCTAATGGTTGAGATCTATCTATCTATCTATCTATCTATCTATCTATCGCAGTTTTTTCATCTATCTATCTCATTTTTTTCATCTATCTATCTATCTATCTATCTATCTCAGTTTTTTCATCTATCTATCTATCTATCTATCTCAGTTTTTTCATCTATCTCATTTTTTTCATCTATCTATCTATCTATCTATCTCAGTTTTTTCATCTATCTCTCTATCTATCTCAGATTTTTTATCTATCTATCTAACTATCTATCTATCTATCTATCTCTCTATCTATCTATCTATCTCAGTTTTTTCATCTATCTATGTATCTATCTATCTATCTATCTATTCGGAGTGTAATCAAAAAGTATCGGGACTGGTGTTATGAAAAGAAAACTACAATAGAAATTAATTCTGCATTTAATCTCCTTCCGGGTAGTCCACTTCTGAAGACAACCGTTTTATCCAGCGTAGTTTTCTTTGATGGAAGCATTCCTGGATCTCTTTTATTTGAAGTAGCTGACATATTGCAGTCTCTTGGATTTACTCGACTTCTTGAAATCTTGTTCCTTTCAAAATGGGATTTAATTTTTAAAAAAGGAAAAAAGTCGCAAGGAACGACATCTGGGAAATATTAAATTATATAAACGACAAGAATACGAAAATGTCATGAGGTTTAGACATACACACACATATATACATATATATATATATATATATATATATATATATATATATATATAAAATATAAATTTAAATTTACATATCCCACACACATAATATATATGGATTTTATTGTGTATATTTGTATATGTTTAGATATGTCTGCATGTATATATATATATATATATATATATATATATATATATACACTTATGAGTGTGGCATATGAGTGTAGCACAT